ATATATACTAACCGTTACCCACGCCAAGCGACGGACGGCGAATGGTTTCTTTGGTAATTAATTTCTTTTCGACAGATAATGATTAGTTTCAATTCAACGATTAGTTTGCTTCAGAAAAATGTCATATTAAATTTAAGACACAATGTATTAGCATCACTAAACATTAGTTTTAATTCTATGAGTCATTTTCTTTTAAATGGATAATGTATTGTTTAATGCATTCGTTGTTTTCTTTCGGCATCTTGTTTTGGGCCCATAAAATGACTTTTCAATATTAAAAGGGCATAAAGTCATAAAATAACTTATCCGTTCAAACCTAAGTTATTTTCTTAAATTTGCACATAATATATGTTTTACAAAGATTGTTTTATAAAACAAAAATATAAATATCTTATTTTGAGGCTAGTTCTAAGGCCACTTCATAAAGAATAGTGTATAAACTTATATAGTTAAATAAAGAAGAACAAACATGTGTTTATGCATATACATGTTTGTGTGGGGGTAGACGTGGAATTGGTATGGGTGTAGATACAATCGGGTTAAGGTGGGGTGGTGGGTCAAGGTGAGGTATGGGGTGTACGGGTGGCTATAGGTAGGGTGAGATGCATGTGCAGACGGGGTGCAGGAGAGACCATGGGTGTAGGCGTGGGTGGGTTAAGTTATTTTTACACAAACAAAAGGAGACTTAATATCCCAATTTGTATGTACTTATAGAATCATAGAAAGATAAAATATATGTATTTGATATCCCCATTTTCTTTTTCAGTTTGGGAGTGTATATGTGCATTTATGTTAAAATGGGGTTTAAATTGTTTTCCAAAATTATTATTTGGAAAAATAATAAAATAGATGGATTACATTTTAATCGTCTACTTCAGTTAAAGTTAAATTAGTCAGGAATGAAATATCAAAATCAGTATATTTATCACTTGGTGAGGACACACCACATATTCCTATTGAGACCTAGACGGTAGAGAATCAAAAGAAAAATGAGATAACTACTTTTTTTAAGTCTTTCTCAATGAATAAAGATAGAGCAAAGAATTTTCACATAACTACCTAGAGTTTGTTTGACCAATACATGGTGATTACAGGTTTATTTACCAAAATAACTACACATTCAAATTTAATTCAAGAAACATGGAAATCTTATTGTAGATCCTGTCTTTTTAAATAGGAAAATTGAAAAAGAAACAAAGGTTGTACTTAAATGACCAGAGTGGCCCTTTTCATTTCCTTGACCATAGATCCAGCAACCATAAACTCGCATCGATAAGTATTTTTGACTATCCAAAAAATAGCTCTTTTTCTCCTTTTTTTTTTCTTATTTGGTGGTCGGCGGTTTATTGTTACTGCTAGTGCTAAGAAATAAGAAAACCCTTCTCGCCTCCCAGCTGCTTGCAATTCAAAACCAAACAAAGAATTGGCTTTAATTCTTTTTATATTCCATCATTTGAACCGTTCCACCTTCCATGATAAACCAAATCCTAACTGGGAGTCAACAACCACTATTTGTTCAAATAATTTAAAAAATAAACATAAATACCTAAAATTTGCAGGCTTTGCTATCAAGGGAAAAAGGAGTTAAAGGGAAGTATTGGCAATACATTTAATCTCTATTTGGTGTTATGTGAATCCCGTTCAAATCCATCAATATAGCCCACTTTTCAGATTACGGGCAAACATTCTTACACTTATGATTCTAAGTAACAATATCTACATCATTATATGGGCAGGAATAACACACTTAGTCACTCACACACATACATAGTGACAACCACTTAACACAAACACAACAACACACAATAGAAATAACCACACGATACAACACCAAACAAACCACATTTCTTGTCATTTTTCCATTTAACTTGTCATATGTTTAAAGGTTAAAATTAAAACTTATAGAAACAAATTTAATACATTCTTTCATTTAACTTGTATTTCTTAACATTTTCCCCATAAAGTAAAGCTTGTACCTTTTGCTTTCTCTCAGTAGCAACAGTAAACAAATCTGGAATCCCAAAATTATTAGCAAATTGTAATTCTTTGGAAAGTTATCTAAAACGAACCCCCTACAATTTACTCAGTAAAAATAAAATTTGTAGCTCTTGCCTTTGACATTAGAGAAGTCTATCAGGTTGATCTAAAAATCAAGTTCAACCACTTTTAGAGATCTTTCTGAAACATATACTGGGAAGTCATCCTCCTCGTAGTGTAATTCAAGCATTCATCTTTAGTTGAAATAGTTAGCACAATATGTGTTGAAGATATCAGACACAACCACGTATCTATGTGCGAGTAGATCAGGACAGGTTCCTCATTCCTCTTCAAGAAGGTGTTAATATCTCTTCTTAAAGGATTCATGCAAGCAACAACTTAATTCCTAGTTTTGTTGTATTTAAAATTAAACTTTTACCTATAAACATAATTAAGCAAATAAATATTGAATGAAACAGAAATAATGCAATTGTAAAATTATAATCACGTCAAAAACATTGCAAGAATACAAAAAAATGACAAAAAAGTGTTACAAATGTTCCTACTTTTCAATTTAATGGGATGTAATTCACTTTTCCATTTAATTCAAAGTAATTTATAACGTCAAAGTAATGTACCAATGAAATATTATGCATGTTATCTCTATGATTATGCTAAAATGGGCAATTTTAAATGGTTTTATGAAATTAAAAAGTCCAGCCTCTAAAAATTCTTTATGACAATCAACAAACATCAATATATACCTTGATTTGTAGATATTTTCCTTCCACAATCATCATTTCGATACTTGAACAACATATATTTATACCAAATTAAAAGTTCAGCCTCTAAAGTTTCATTATGACAATCATCAAACATCAATATATATATATGTTAAGAATATTCCTATTCTATTTCTCTATGCAAATAAACCCTTGAAAATCAAAACATTTATGTAATAAAGAAGAACATAACGAAGGATTGTCGCTTAAAAATCTAAATAAAACCTAGGAAATGAGGTTATACTTACCTGTAATTGAAAATGAAGAAGAGGGAGTGAATTTTTAGGGCTTCAAACCGTACATACCTTGGATTCAAAAATCAAACAACAGTATGGTTAAAAATAGCAAACTTAGCGAATGTTTACAGAATAACTTTAATTTGATACAAAACCTACTTGGAATAATTCAAAAATATCGGATGTGTCTGCTCAATTTTCGAAAACTTCAACTTGGAACCAGATATCTACACAAATCTAACACCTGGTTTGCATACAACATATACATCTACCCTGATTTCGGACTTATAAACAGGGAACGGACCTGTAGATAGAGAAATTAGAGATGGGATGAAAAATTTGGAGTAAGTGAAGAAATCATAGATACTGCTTACTAAACCTAAATTTATATCACATGAAGCGTAAACAAACAAACAAATCGTATTCTTGTTGGATGTCGGGCTATTCTTCAATTCAACGTCATAATTAAACATTCAAAACCTGTAAAAATACTGAAATAACAGAAAATAATACATAAGATAAAGGGCAAAAATTCGAGAGGAAAAGAGAGAGAGTAAGGGATGACGGCAGTAGGTCGATCTGGATTAGAGAGACTCACTTTTACCTGGAAAAATTAAGATAAAGGGATGTTGGCGTTGTGAATCCTTTTGATTCATTCAATCATCATACTAAAGGGCAGTTGGATAAGAAGCACAAAATCTACGTAAAATGATCATGGAGATGAAAATTAAAACAATTAGAAATGCAACAACACACAATAAAAACAAATAAAAACCCTAGATTAAAAAGGGATAAATAAATCCATGGACTCACCGCTTAAAGTTTACATCTCCTCTCGATTTCTCTTGGCCCAGTCTCGTCCTACATTTCTCGGTCTTACTTTTATCACCGATATCTCCAATTCCAACATAAATATTGAATAGTTAGTGTGCTAATAGACTGTAAGATTTGTTTTGCTTGAAAAAACAAAAGGAGAAATTCAAGAAAAAGAAGAAGAGTTTGATCAGATTCAAGATTAAAATCTTGTTAATCAAAATCTACCAACTGAGATAGAGGGAAAGGCGATCGATATCGGGGGATTTGGGTTTCAGTTGATGACTTGGTCTCAAGCGTGAAGGAAGATTCTATGTTACACCCGATTTTTTTATTAACTGAGTTTGACAGACAAGTTAATCATGCATTTGAAACTTGTACTTATAGCTTTAGTAATCCACATGTGTTTGCCTGAGCCTGAGTTTTAAGTGGGAATTCAAATTCAAATGAAAAATAATGGCCAATTCAAATAGGATAACGAGAGATTGGGAAAGAATGTACGGGGATACCGATAAGAAATATAATGCATTAGGTATTGTACGTGTTTAATATTTTGGACAACTTAATCTATTTTTAGAAATAATAAGGTTTATATATATATATATATATATATATATATATATATTTTGACCGTACTAGAATGATTTTCATGATTTGTACATCTAACATTGATCTTGCTAGAATAAGCTTCTTTTCCATTCAATTTGATGTCAACTGCAAATATAAGATAATTAAACAAGTCAATCATGTTGTCAAGTATGAACCTTTTATATGTACAACTTTTCACTACTTTTAACACAATGGAAGACCTTAGCAGAGTTAGCGCGAAAGACAAATGTTGCTATTGGTAAATTGTAGAAATTGGTAAAAAAAATGTCATGTTTGAAGATTTAAAGGCTCTTCAATTTGCCTTTTTTGCTATTTGTAATTGAAGTAATTGGTAGAAAAGTGAAACATGGTTACCAAAATTGGCACGGAATCCACTTCTCTTCGTATATTGGTAAAAAAATCATAACTTCATTGTATAAATAAATGATTAGCCATGTACCTGTATTTTTGTTCTTAATAAGTGATTATGAAGCTAACGGATGGTATGTTTAATGGAATGTAGATTTGTATGAAAATTGCTCCAAGTATACATGCAAAGAATGTTCATGCTTTAACGTGACTACACCAGAATAATAGAGTGAGAGCGAAATGTCAAGAAGTATTAGACACCACTAAAAGCATAACTTTAACCAAATCTTGGAATTTATAAAACGTTTTTTTATGTAGTTGGCTTAGAAAACATGACTTATTTTTGACGAAGTCTCATGTCAACATTTGGGGAAACCACTCAACTGATGTTGCTGAATGATTTTTATTTTTTATATTTATGTTTTCCTTTGTGTGTGTGTGTGTGTTTTTTTTTTTTCGATTTTTGAATGCCATGTGTTTGTACATAGCTTCTAAAGCCAAACAAGAAAAGAAAAATATGAGTATGTTTGGTAGGGAAAAAAAACAAAATTGTACTTTTGGTGCCTTGCTTTGGTTCAAAATCTGTGGAAGACATAAAAATATGAAACAAAAAAAATATATGAATGTTTTTTATGGATCGTAGTTGTAATACAAAAGCAAATGGAGGGTTAATTTTTATTTTTGAAATCCATATAATTTAAGTGAAGCTAAAATATGCATCTTAAATTTGAAGAACTTTTATATTGAAATTTAGAAAGTCAAATAACTGAAATCAATATATCTTTTAATACTACAGGGTCATTGGGCCAAATTAGACTTCAAAAGATGGCGGTCATTGGGCCAAATTAGACTTCAAAAGATGGCAACGTACTTTTGTTAAACCTAAAAATATTGGAAACATTCTTTTGTTAACCCAAAAATAGCAACTTACTTTGTCCCAGAACAAGAAAATACTTTTTTAACCCAAAACATCAACATACTAACTGTCAAATAGAAACCGCTCACCAAAATAAATGTATCACGAACTCCTTATTTAAAGTCTCATCGATAACAATATGTATTTGTTTTGTGTTCCTTAAAATATAACATGTTTTCGAATATAACTAATTCCCGAAATAAACTATTCGCCGTCCGTCGCATTGCATGGGTAGACGGCTAGTATATATATATATATATATATATATATATATATATATATAT